CGCCGGCCTGGGTCCGGGTCCCCGTCCCCCGCGTCCCCGCGGGGCATCCGGGCGGGGTCTCCTCTCCTGCTCCCAGCCCCTCTTCCTCGGCTCTCTCGGCCAGGGCCAGCTTCACAGCCACTTATCACACCCCTCCCCGGCTCTTTCCTGGGAAGGTCTTCCCTCCCGTCGTGGGCTCCCCATTCTTCCCAGCGCCCTCCTTCCTGGGGTTTCCTCCCACCTTCGTCTGTCTGCCCTTTCCCGGGCTGCGTTCCTTGTTGGGCGGCGGGGACGCGCGACTCCTTAATGGACTGTGAGGTGCCTTCCTGCGTAACTGCAACAAAGCTAATACCGTCCCGGTGTTCAAAGGAGCCCAGACCCCTAGATTTTCCGCCAGGTGCTCACGGTTGAAATGAAAAGCTCTTAGATGGCTTTCCTACGCGAAAGCCTAGTACCATACTTTACAGACATTTGACAGCTCATAATTGAGAGAGGTGGGAAGGAATTGGGAAGGGGGTAGTGGGGGGGGGTAAGTAAAAACCCTACCAAGCAAGCCTTTAGGTGAAAAGACGCGGCCGTAATTCATTAAAGTAGGAAACTCAGCCTGGTTTGATAAAATTGCAATTAAGTGCAGTATTTTTCAGTCCATTAAGTAAGTAGATGGGGTGGGAGGTGGAGGAAAGCAGATGGCTTAGCTACCCAGATGAAAGTCTAAAATAGAAAGGTCAAGGCTTTGCCTTTCATGCGAGTTCTGCTTTTTATGGGCTTGAAATAGAAACGGTTTACAATTGCGTTTCTTTCCAAACGGAATTGTTCCAAAATAATGCCTCTGCAAACACTGGTAAGCCCGAGTCTTTTGCCACTCAGCTAATAGTTGTAATGAAAGGTGTTACTCTGACCACCCAAAAAGTTTACTACTGCAAGATTCACTGCAGCTAAGTTCAAACCCACTTTCTGGATTTCTCCAAAGCCTAAAAGAAGGGCCTGGAAAAGAAAGCTGTTTTGTCTTTGTCTGACCCTGTAGACACCTGATCAAGCCATTCTCCTGCTATAAAGCTTTTCAAAGTGAAAAATTCTTACTGAGCAGATCTGTAGAATTGGACCGTGTAGATGCCACACTTTATAAACCGTCTGGTAATTAATTTTAAAATAATGTTCGATTACCAAGGGAATAATGTGTTTTGGGGAAATGCAAAAATAAAATGGCGTGTAATACCACCACCCAGGGGTAAACAGCATTAACGGTAAGAGTATTGCTTCTTTTGTAAACTATCAAAGAAAGGGACCTACAGAACGCCATTTTTTTATACGCTATTCAAAGACACCAAAGCTTCTGCTTACAATATAATGGAAATGTTTACCGAAGCGAAGGAATTTATCCCAGACTAGTACTGTTTGGATAGTTTTAGCTTTACAAATGCACTTCCAGAATTGAAGGGACACAGTTTAAGCATTAGCGAATGCTCCCCTACCCTGTCATTAATGTAGTATAGTCCTGAACATTTCAAGGCTTTTAAAATTGAGATGTTCATGATGAGATGTACAAAGTGAGATGGTAGGATGTGGGTGGTTTTTTTTTTTTAATGTGAAAGGAAACAAGACTAATTTTAATATACATATAAATGAGAAAATGATTAAAATGATAAGGTGATCACCGATGAAGAGCAGAAGCTTGTATTTGAGATGAAACTAACAAAATTAGATTTTATACTCTGACTTCATATAAGGTCAGACTTTGTACTGTATTTTGTTCTGATGTTAGCAGAGATAAAATGGCTGGCTTGTATATGTAAAGTATCTTTAAAGTCCTTAGGGGGTTGAAAGTTTTAAAATGTGTAATCACATTTTTAATTTTTATTCTTTTAAGAAAGCTTAAGACTTAGTCACAAGAATCAGGACCAGCTGACTCTGTAGTGTTAGGTCATTATTCTATTCAGGCTCTTCATTTTACAGGTGAGACTACTATGCCTCTGTCCAGATCTGGAAAAAAAAAAAAAACAAAAAACCAAGCTATTACAAATGATTCCAACAGTTTCCAGCATCATCACCGAATCTCAAAACACCTTGACATAGTTGGAATGTTGACTTCTTAAATGTCTGAATTTCTAAATACTTAGAAATACTTCCTTTTTAAAAATGTGCCTGTGTAGGGTGTGTATACACAAGTGCAGGTACCTGTGGAGGTCAGAGGTCTAGAATTCTCTGGAGCTGAAATTATAGGTTGATGTGAATTGCCTACATGTGGATGTTAGGAACCCAACTCCAGTACTCTGAAAGGGCAGTACGTGCTCACAACCATCGAGTCTTCTCTCTAGTCCTACAAGTAATTCTGACTACAAAAGCTTCATGAAGACTTAAGATGCATATTTTCTCAGCTGGGTGGTTGTGCACACCTTTTAATCACAGCAGAGGCAGGCAGATCTCTGAGTTCGAGGCCAGCCTGGTCTACAGAGTGAGTGAGTGCGAGGACAGCCAGGGCTACTCAGAGAAACCCTACCTCAAAACAACAACAACAAAAAAAACAGATATGTAGCTAAGAAAAGAATGAAGGTTTAGGCAACTTAACGTGTCTATTTTTTTGTATGTGTGTGTGTGTGGGGGGGGTGGTTTGAGGCAGGGTTTCTCTGTGGCTTTTGAGACTATCCTGGAACTAGCTGTTGTAGACCAGGCTGGTCTCAGAACTCACATAGATCCACCTGCCTCTGCCTACTGAGTGCTGGGATTTAAAGGTGCTTGCCACTACCTCCCAGCTTAAAGTGTCTTAAAAGTTGGAGTTGCTGCTCTTGCAGATTGAGGTTTAGCTCCCAGCACTCATGTCCAGTGGCTCACAACTGTCTGTAACTCCAGTTCCAGAGGATCCAATGTCCTCTTCTATCATCACTGGGCACAAAGCATGAATGTGCTGTACATACATTCAGCTCACATTCATAAAATAAAAGTAAATCCTTTTGGGGGGGAGTTTTTTCTTTTTTTTTTTTCCCACTATGTAGCCTTGGCTGCCCTGCGGCTCACTCCATAGACCAGGCTGGCCTGGAACTTACAGAGATCTACCTACCGTTGTTTACTAAGTACTAGGCTTAAATGGTTGGGCTACCATCCTGGCTAAAAAGTTTTTGTAGAATAACATTTAGGATAAAATGAGCATAGGTATACTCTGCTATATACAAACAACATGTAGAATTTTGAAAGAACAATAATTTTAAAATGTTAACAATTCCCAACAGTCCACCACCGCCGACACACACACACACACACACACACACACACACACACACACACACCTATGAGAAAGATCTGCCTCCATCTCCCCAAGTTCTGGGAATTACAAGGTGTGCCTCCATTCCTGGCTTCTTTTTTTCCTGGTAGGTATCTATTCCACCATTGAGCCATATCTCCTGACCCTTTACTTCTCAAATAAAAAAATAGAAATGATGTTACATTCGATGTGAGACTATGAGGCCACTTGTGTAGGTTCATAAGTGAATACTGTGTACAATACAATACAGCAACAATATAATAAATACTAAGGATCAATTCGTTTTAATCCATGAGAAACAAATATGCTGAGGTCTTATTTTAAAGATGCATGTTATCAATTTTTAAAGCAGTTGTTTTCTGGGTTATTCATTTCGGGTGGGACAGGCTTCCCAAGAGGGAGAGAGCTATCACAGCAGGCTGGCAAAGTTAAGTAGTTCCAGATGGTTTGCAGTAGCATTGAAGATGGCACTTTCAAAATGGATTGGAAAACAAAATCATTGGTTATAGACACTAATAATTCAGTTATGTTGAATCATGAATGACTTTGGGCGAGGTCAGAAAATGATTCTGCTTTGTTTCCTTTTTATGTATATACATGGGAAACTAAATGAATAAAAATTATATCAGGCCTTTCAAAATTAAGCATTTTCTTATAAAAAAATAACTATTCACTAAAAAGTGGACAAATTTTACATAAATAAAAAGGTAATATGAATACAGTTTAGTGTTAATCATAGCTCCAAGTCTTTCTCTTAACCTTTGAAGCTGCTACTTCACTGTGAGTTTTTAAATATCCTTCCTATCTTCTTAATATTGATGCTCTGTACTCGACCTTTTCTACTTGACTTGTCTTTCTTCAATACCCTTCACTCACATGACTGGCTGTTGTGGTTATGCTAATGGCTCCCATCTCTGCCACCATCCTTGCTTTGACTTCTACCTGCTGTCTAAAAGGCTTCTCAGATTTAACTGACCAACCTTCTCTTCCATCCCCCAAACAAAAACACAACCTGGCATTCTGTGTTTTGTTTGTTTGTTTGATGTTGCTGGGGATTGCATCGTAGGTTAGTGCTCTACCACCCAGCTAGGTAGTGAATCTGGCCCTGATTTCTCCTCTGACCCCTTATATTTGATTTGTTAATTTAGCTTTGTAAATATCTCATTAATGTGTCTCTCTCTATTCCCACTGCCATTGTCATCTCTTGCCCATTTTATTTAACCTTTTGTGGCCAAAGCTACTACTCTAGGACTAGACTTGTAGTTTTTCTTTTCTTCTTTTAAAAAAATTATGTGTCAATGTGCTTAGCCCACATATATGTTGGTGCATCACATGCATAGTTAACAGATGGTTAAGAGCCACCATGTGGGTACTAGGAATGGAACCTGGGTCCTCTGGAAGAGAAGTCAGTGGTCTTAACCACCAAACCACCTCTCCAGCCTCAGATTATGTAGATTTATATAGATATAGTATAAGTGTTATACTAAAACATTAAAATT